AGAAATCCAGACAGTGGAAACATCCCAGCATATAAATCTTCTACAAACTCAACAAATCGGAAAAAGGTTGCACTCTCCAGAATGTTGTCGCATTTTTCGAATATCTCTTGGCAAGGGCTGCGTTCAAGACCACCTAACGGATTTTCAGCTCAGAAGTGCCCACATTATCGAGATCTAAGACATTCATTTCATACTTCACCATGTATTCATTCTCCAAAGTGTTTGTCATGTACTATTTGTTCTTTTTCCCTTATAAATAAAGACAATATTTTTCTCTAAATCAATTCCTTTTGAGCATCTTGGATTGAATTTAAACCTAATGATTTGTTTACTTTTGCAAAAGATAATCGCATATTACTGTACAAAGATTCATTAAAAAGTACAGGTACCCGGAAGCCGATCAAGCTCATGCACATACTTGAAATGGTCTGGAAGCATTTTTCTAAATCAAGAAACAAATGGAATGTGCACATCAGATTTGAACATTTGAAGAATTCAAGATCAGGGATCAAAACTTCAAGATTCCAAAATCAAGAGTCAACAGCGACAGGCCACCTGAGATCGAGATTTCTCTCCAGAGCCCAGAAAAACATATGTTGCATATGCATTTTAGGTATACCTAAGAGCATTGCATCCATAACATCGCATATATGCACATCTTTGCAGGTTTTATCTAGAGTCAATTTCAACTTCGCAGCGAATGATATTGGACTCGAAACAACACAATTTGTTCGAGAGTAGATTTCAACTTCACGACGAATGATATCTAGCTCGAAGCCAAAATTCACAATAAAGGGGTCATCCACGGTTTCAACTTTACGGCGAAGGGAATCGTGTCCACCCGCAACATACAATACTTGGATTTCAACTTCACGGTGAAGGATATTCAAGTCAAAGCTCAACTTCATTACGAATGGGTCATCCGCGATTTCAACTCCACGACGGAGGATATCGTACCCACACATCCACGATTTCAACTCTACGATGGAGGATATCGTGCCATTCAGGGCTCAACTTTATGACGAAGGGGCTTCCCAATTTCAGAGTCAATTTCAACTTCACAGCGAAGGATATTGGACCCAAGACAACACAAGCTCAACTTCACAGCGAAGGGGCGGCTGATTGTCAACAAATAGCCTTTCAATTTTATTCAGAGTCAATTTCAACTTCACAACGAAGGATATTGAACTCAAGACAACACAAGCTCAACTTCACGATGAAGGGGCGGCTGATTGTCAACAAATAATTTCCCAATTCCAGAGCCAATTTCAACTTCACGGTGGAGGATATTGGACTCGGAACAACACAAATTACTTGGATTTCAACTTCACGACGAAGGATATCCAATTCCAGGTTGAACTTCATGACGAAGGGGCCACCCGCGGTTTCAACTTCACGACGAAGGGAATCGTGCACACAAGCAACATCTACCTCTAGATTGGATATCAATTTCACGACGAAGGATATCCAACTCAAAGAAGGAGTGTCTGTCAATAAACTTTCTAGTTTCAGAGTTAGTTTCAACTTCACAGTGAAGGATATTGGCCTCGAAACAATGCAATCAACATTGGATTTCAACTTCACAACGAAGGATATCCAATTCTAAGGCTCAACTTCACGACAAAGGGGACCTATACGTTTCTAACTTCACAAACAGATTGACCCAACTTCGCGTCAAAGGAGTCATCTGTAACATAACAACACCAAAGTCTTCAGGTCAAGTTTCATCTTCACGATGAAGTATCTTGGACCACAAGACGAGTCAGAGGTTACTTGCCAAAAGTTTTGGGTTCGGTTTCAACTTCGCGACGAAGAATACCGCGCTCAAAATTTTTCAATTCAACTAAACCTCGCAACGAGAGTCATTTCGAGCTCCAATCCAAATTGACAAACCAGTCCTAATATCGGATGTCCACTCTACGACAGAGGGCATTTCGATATGGACGAAATTCGTGTATTTTAATCTTTGCTCTATTTTCGTTACACGATAATGAGCAAAGAATAGAGCAAAGAGGGGCAGCTGAAGATAACAAATTTCGTCCAGTATATCATTTTATATAATATATATGTTTTATAATAAACTATATTATATAATATATAAAGTTTGATTATTTGGGTCTTATATTACATGAATAGGTCCAATACACGTGACCCAAATAGCCCAGTATAAAAGTGGACCAGCACCCAAATCCTACGTGACCTATTACAGACTTAGGGTTTTTAAAAACCCTAACGTCGCACGCCCTCTCTCAATCTCATCCAGCGCCGTTCGTGTAGGTTCCCACAGCCGCACGTCTCGCCCAACATCCCGATTCGTCCGGCGCAAGGAAGCAATCATCAACAACAACTGCGAATTCCGAGCAACAAAAGCAAACCAAGAACCATTAGGACTCTATTGTTAATAGGATTCTAAAAATAGTTGGTTTTCTCATTATAAATAGCATGTAATCCTCACTGTATTTCACACATTCGGATACGAAATAAAGGGCAAAAATTACAAAGCAAAACTCATAGCATTATTTTTGTTTTCGAAGGGAACTACAAGGTTAAGAATCATACCTTTTTTCGTTCTTCATTTTGCATGAGACCCGTTGTGTAGGTTTTTATTTTTTTTCTTCTTTTCCAAGCGTCGATGACCGGAGGGGAAGAACGTTCGAATCTTCTTTTTCAGATTCACACTTCCCGGAGGAGATTTTAAAAAAACCATATTGATTTTCGAAACGAGGGTACAAAGATCTTTCAAAAAAATAAAAACTTTTTCATTTTCGCCGCCGATGACGGCGACTGACACCGTTCATGGCGGCCGGTGAGGTGGCACACGGTGGCCAGATATTGGGTTCTTGAAGAACCACGGCGGCCTGTTCTTGAATCTCAAGAACAAATCAGAGAAAACAGAAAAACAGGGGGGGCTACGTGCGTGAAGAAGAGAAAATGAGAAATTAAAACAGCAAAATGGATTTTATACGCGACCTGGCCCACCAAGCACGACCCGCGTGTTTTCAAACATAAATGGGTTAATCCCAATTTTAGTCCCCTTTGTTTTATTTATTTCATTCTGCCCCCCTTGATTCGATTTTAAATCCAATTTCCTCCTAATTTGGTCACCTAACTTGTTTTTTAATTCAATTTGACCCTTATATTATTATTTTTATTATTTTATATTATTTATTTTGTTACATATACATTTTTTATATACCTATTATTAATATGTATATATATTAATTATTTTTATTTCAATATTTTTTATATACCTTGTTTAAAGTTATCATATATATATATATATTTATATAACTATTATTATTATTATTCATTTTTTACCATTAACGTACATATGTATACTTTTAACTTATATTTTACTTTTTTTTACTTTCCTATTTTCTTTATTTTCTGTAATTTTATATTTTTATTTTTTCTTTGTCTTTATTTATTTTCTATTTTTCTTTGTATTTTTCCTTATTTATTTGTATTGTTGTTTTATTTATTTATTTGTTATACTATTATTAGGTTCTTTGCTTTATTCATTTTCCTTGTTTATTTTTTACTTTTACTTCTTTTATTTTCTTAATTTTTCTCATTCTATTTATTCACGTTGTGTATGTGTTTTCTTTGTTTTATTTATGTACTTTCATTGTCTTTCTCCTCTAACATGTTTCTCGACTTTTTTTAAGGGTTCACTTTTAAAATCAATCAGTAGTAAGTTTATGATCAAATTTTACCTTTTAATTTAAAATTACAATTTTCTTAATTAAAAACAACTGGAAATTACGTAGTACCGAAAGGGCAGTTCAAGGGTGCTAACCCTTCCTTGACTGTAACCGACTCCCGAATCCAACATATCACTGGTAAGATGCAAATCAGGTAAGGAATAAAGTATCTGATTTACCTATTTGTTTTAAAATAAAAAATCGGTGGCAACTCCAATCCATTTAATCCAAGTCGAAGCCCAATTCTAGGCTCATCCGAAAGACGGTTCCGACAAGTACCATCTTCACAATCCGAACAAGGCGGAGTTGATCTCGTGGGAAGATCGATTGCGGATCGCCAAGGAAACTGTTAATGCTCTTGCTATCTCCACTCTACAGCTGTAATTCCCATCATCCACCATGACGTCAAGTCCTCCATCATATTATTGGATGACAAGTACACCGCAAAAGTCTCGGATTTCGGAGCTTCGAGCCTTGTTCCTGCTGATCAGACTCAAATAACGACTCTGGTTAAAGGAACACTAGGGTACTTGGATCTGAAATACTTCCAAACAAGCCAACTAACAGAAAAGAGTGGTGTTTACAGTTTTGGAGTGGTGCTAGTGGAACTACTAACAGGGCAGTTACCAGTATCATTTGCTGACGCCCAAAGTAACTTATCTTCCTACTACATTCTGGCAATGCGACAGAGTCGTCTCTTTCGAATTCTCGATCCTGGACTCAAAAATGAAGGGGACAAAGAAAAATTCAATGCTGTTGCGGATCTGGCAATGAGATGTCTCTGATTGAAGGGCAAAAAACGGCCTACGATGAAAGAAGTGGTGTTAGAGCTTGCAGGTCTGAGAGGGATCAACAAACATCCTTGGCATCAAGTTTACCATGAGGAGAGTCACTGCTTGCCCGATGAATAAATGGGCTCACACATCTCTGAGAATTCATCAGTAGTGAACCTTCACAGCGACATGTCAACTAGGCAATATAGCATTCACAGTTTAGGAACAAATTCAATGGATTTCCCTCGTTAATCATTCTTATATTAGAAGTTTTTAGGGAAGTATGTGTTATGCGGGTTGTATATAATATTATTTAGTATAAAATTTTGTATTTCATCTATATACATATGTAAATTTATATAGATAACATGTATGTGAATGAGGAGTAAAAAAATAAATATCGCAAGTGTTAAGTATAGTGTGCAGACATACACAAATATCGAAAGGATTAATCTCTATGAACAATCGTGGATCCGGATAATTAATATCCAACAGTAAAATAGAAACGACTTTTGTCAAGAGATCTGCTATAAGAATGATCATCGAGGGAAGTCCGTTGAAAACATCTGTGAATTCTGAATGTTACTCTCAGCTATGTGTAATTCCAATTGTTCATTGAGCAAGGAGCGAGTCTCCTCATGGATAAGTTGATCCCAAGGATGTTTGTAAATCCCTCTTGACCCTGCAAGCTCTAACACCACTTCTTTCATCGTAGGTCGTTTCTTGCCCTTCAATCGAAGACATCTCATCGCAAGATCCGCGAAAGCTTCAAGTTGTTCTTGGTTCCCTTCATTTGCGAGTCCGGGCTCGAGAATTTGGGAGAGATGATCCTGTTGCATTGCTAAAATGAAGTAAGCAGATAAGTTCCTTTGGGCTTCAGGCCTTGCAAATGAGAGCGGCAACTGTCCTGTTAGTAGTTCCACTAGCACCACTCCGAAGCTGTAAACATCGCTTTTTTCTGTCAGTCGGCTTGTTTGGAAGTATTCTGGATCCAAGTACCCGAACGTTCCTTTAACCAGAGTCTTTATTTGGTTCTGATCAGCGGGAATTAGCCTCGAAGCTCCGAAATCCGAGACTTTCGTGGTGTACTTGTCGTCCAATAATATGTTGGAGGACTTGACATCTCTGTGAATGATGGGAATTACAGCTGCAGAGTGGAGATAAGCAAGAGCATTCGCGGTTTCGGTGGCAATCCGTAACCGATCTTCCCATGTGATTGACCTCGCCTTGTTCGGATTGTGAAGATGGTAGTGGAGGCTCCCATTGGGAACATGTTCATAAACCAATAGGGGAACCTCAGTTTCCAAGCAACATCCCAGGAGCTTCACGACGTTTCGATGATTGATCTGAGAGAGAACAACGACCTCATTGATGAACTCTTTGATATGGTTCTTGTCGACCATTTTTGACTTCTTTACGGCGATCACTCTACCGTCGCATAGGATTCCTCTGTAAACTGTTCCATTGCCTCCTTGACCAATAACTCGACTCTCTGCGTAGTTGTCAGTGGCCTTAGCTAACTCTTGAGTAGTAAAAATCTTTGTGGGCTCTCCAAAACCTTCATGAGAAGCAATTTGCTGCTGCAACAATAAACCTCCATTTTGCTGGAAGAATTTTTGTTTGAGTTTGATCAACTTTCTTCTCTTTATGCAAATGTATAAAGAAGGGGCTAGGAGAAGCAAGAACAAGGGACAACCTATACCTGCGGGATAAATCAGGCCAATGCACAAATTTCTTCTTTTTCTCTTAAAAATGAATCATTGTATCAATTAGGAGGTTTACCGAGAACAAGCTGCAATGTCGGAAACTTTGAAACCTTGCAATTATAGCCACCAGGAAAATTAATGCAAGTACCTTCTCCTTCACATGGGTTATGCGGAGCCATACACTCGTTAATGTCTTCAAGAATCAATATTCAACAGTATGTGTTAGCTGATAAATAATTTACTAGATGACAGAAAAGATTAAGTCCACGAATTTAATGAGTTTTAAGCAAAGTTTTACGGACCTTGGCATCCTGAGCTGAGATAAGGGTTCCCTTCATAGCCATGTTTGCAACTGCAACGATAACTTGGACCACCATCTGGTTCATATGCAACACACTCGCTGTTCATCCCTTTGCAGGCATAAGTATCCCTAAGTTTTTCAGCTGCTTCACAAGTCTCATTGCCTATAACCCAATCAAGAACAAAGGAGGAATTCTCTATCTTCGATGAGGAACAACGATCGAGATCTGATGCCTCGAACATGTAGCTCTCTTGGTCCGCAACAAAACCGTATCCGCAATTATCATGAGGCGCGGTCCGCGTGGATATAAGTGATTCGTTATACAAATCGCTCATCATTGAATCGTTAACAAGGTTCACAACCACTATGCCAATTGCTTTAACACGCTCGAATATGGAGGTCTGACAGCAGCCACGCCCAGAGCAAGACCCGTCGGTTACACCCTCGAGGTTATCGCTGCACAGAGACAAGCAACCAGTCGTGATAGTTCCATCTCCAAAGGATAATAAACCAATGGAGTTACAGCCCGTGACGATGAACTTGTTTGCAGTGGTGTTGAAAACGAATGGTGTATCGATCAAATTGATGCCGGTTGCACTCGCAACCGCGGTTCCGTTTTGGAGGAACCCTTTGGTACGGACCACAGGGCTCCTAACACGAACCTGATTGTGTGCTACAGATATATCGGCAACCTCATGTTGGGTAGCTCCCAAGTGTAGGAATGGTTTTGGTAGACTGTAAGAAGCATTGCAGGTTATTTCGAAGCCGTGCATGAAACATCCTTCTCCGATACCGAAAGGGTAATCGATTGTGAAATTCCCACAGCTCCGTTGGCAGCTGGACATCGGGTTTACTGCCTCGGCTGCTGCCGATGATAAAATTGATGCCAAAACAACAACAGACCATGTTCCAAACCTGAGCAAAGGATGCTGAGATACAGACATTTGTTATTGATAAAGTTGGCGATCCGATCGTTATTCTGATATTGCTATGTAACGTGAGAAAGTGAAAACCGGAATTTTGTGCGTTCATTGTTTGAATTTAGTGTGTTTACACACGCCATTTCGAAGAAACTTCAACAATTTTTAAAAAAAAATTAATGTAGCTATCAGTTCATATATATATTTAATTTGACTATGATTTCTTTTAAATTAATTATGGCGTTCAACTATTACTTTTGTCAATAATCATGTTTTTTAACGAGAATAAAGATTGAATGGGTAAATTTTATGATGATGTGTGTATGAATAGAACTAAAATATTTAAGGGGTAAAATATAATTAATTTTATAAAATATGATAAAACCAAAATAAATTAAAACTAAAACATTTAAATAAGTATATGTTGAGATATATTTTCAATAACAACTAAATTACATGAATCATTAATGTACCTTGCTCTATTTCTTATTTTATTACTGAACTTTATACATTTAATTTTTTTGGTCACTCGATCTTTTCCCACTAGCGACGCTATGACGTGGAATTTTTCATTATTATATTTAAAAAACATTTTCCAAATCAGAAAAAAATTAAAACAAAAAAAAAAACCCTTTTTATTTCTTCCCCATTCTCTTATTCTCTGCTCAACTCTTCTTCTCTCCCCCTCCACCTTCCTCTACTACACCCTCTTCTTCCCTCTCTTCTCCTGAAACTCCGCCTTCCTCCACATCTTAATCCGATTAAGGGACTCAACAAATAAATGCAACGCTAAGAGTCCACAAAATAAATGCAGAGAAATGGAAAACCAAAACCACGAATCAACCCCAAGTCAGCCAAATCAACGAGTCAGTTCACCGTCTCACGAGCTGCCATCGACCTTTTCAGCTGAACAAACCCAGAAACGCAACCGCCAAGAATCACAGCAGCACAAAAGTCACGACGAGTCCTTAATCCCCAAAACGCTCGAGAAAAGCCAACCTTTCTCCACTGTCGTTTCCACTAGAAATCATTGTCGAGATCCTCTCAAATTTGCCCGTCAAATCCCTCTTCCGTTTCAGGAGCGTTTCCAAGTCCTGGAAAACTCTCATATCCGACCCTTTCTTCATCAAAAGCACCTAAAACAACGACCCAAGTTCTCTAAAAAAAAACAAGTCTTAATCAACACAGGAACCACCCAAACCCAATATAGCATCAAATCGTGCTTTCTTAACTCTATTTTCCATAACCCAATTGTCACTATCATGGAAATCGAATACCCATTGAAGAACGATTCCCGTTGTGATTGGGTTGTGGATTCATGTAATGACTTAATTTGCGTAGTTATTAGACAAGATACAATCATTTTATTAAACCTCGATTTAAGGGTTTTCAAAAGGTTGCCTGAATTAGGGTTTAAGAAAAGGAAGGGCTGCTATACCGTTTATGGGTTTGGTTTTGATGCTTCCCTGAATGGTGAAGAGGGGGAGAGAAGAAGAGTTTCAAGAAGGCGGGGTTTCAAGAGAAGACGAAGAAGAGGGTGGAGGAGAGGAAGGCGGGATTTCAGGAGAAGAGAGGGTTCTTTTTTGTTATAATTTGTTTTATGACTTGGAAAATGTTATTTAAAAATAATAATAAAAAATTTCACGTCATAACGTCGTTGGTGGGAGAAACAATTGAGTGATCAAAAACGCTAAATATATAAAATTTAGTGAAAAAATTAAATATATTTAAAGTATAATGAGTGAAATATAAAATAAAACAAAATATAGTGATGATTCGTGTAATTTACCCTTTCAATAATAACAAAATCGAGGGCAGTGTTCCACATGGGTGTATTTTATTTTATTTTTTTTGTCGTATTTTGATTTTAAGGTTATGTTTACAGCTTATTTTGATAACTAAATTTTTTTATATATACATGAACTCAAATTTAATATCTACTTAAATCATATTAAATTACTTACTACTGAAAATAATTGTATGGGTAGATGAGTGTATTTTATTAATAAGATATTAATCTTTTATTAACATAATATTCTAAGTCACCTTATATTATTTTATACTTTTAAAATATTTTTATAAGTTAAAAACTATTTAATGACATAACTTTGAATAACGATAGTAATAAAATATATTTGTAATTTTGAGGTGGAACATAATACATTTAATTGATGAAATATTATTTGTATGTCATATCATATTTTTTTCAGTTGTTGAAGTACTATATAACGTGTTAAAAGTTTTAATTTTAGGCAATACAGAAAAAAGAAACTGGAGTAATATATTGTGTGAGCGAGACTGAGAGAGAGAGAGAGAGAGAGCAGAGGTACATATTAAAAGATGTCAAATCTGGGTACAAAATATATAGATATGACTTTCTAAATAAATAGATATTTTAAAAGCCGGTGTAAATTTATTATCTATTTAAGGTTTAATTATGTTTTATGTAGTTGATTATTAAAATTTATAAAATGATCATTTAATTATAGAGTGTTGTTTTGTTTAGTACTGTGATATTTTTTTGATTAATTTGTGATAAGTATAAGGTAGCATCTATTTATAGATAACTCTTAATCATTTGACATTGAACACTTACACCCTAATATTCTTGATGCTCGAAATAGGACGAGTTTAGATCATATGAATAATTATGTGATTATTTTGTAGATTTTAATAGGTGAGGGACTCGAAAAAATAATTTTATAGAGTCAAGAGACCTATTTGTAAATTTTAATAATCGATAAACTTGATAAAATAATATATTATAATCAAAGAATCATTTGTGTACTTTACTCTAAAATTTAATGTGTGCTTATAATAATTTATTTATTTTATGATTTGAAGGAGTATATTAGATCACATGTTTTTAGTTCAATCAAATGAATTTGATTTAAATAATTATATTTCTTATGAATTCATTTAAAAAATATTCTTCTCCTGACAGTTTTGAAATTCAGTAAAATGATTATAAACATATATTAATATAAAAAACCACTTTTCCACGTTCGAGAGAAAAAAAATCTAACGAACTAACATAGAATAGTCTTCCCTTTAATTTGTTTATACCACTAATCTAAACCCTAATAAAAAACTATAAAATTATTTTGACGATGTCAATAGTTATCATTATAGGTTCTTTCAGTCCCGTTGAAAAGTGGAGATTTCGACCATGGAAAAGTCCCCTTAAAGTGGTTGACACTTGGCAGGATGAACCTAGGGATGAGCATGGGATCCATAGATGGGTTTCGATCCGACTTAATTCGATTAGGTTAGATTTTTTTAAATTCGGATTCAGGTTGGAATTTTTTAAAGTTGAAGTTTGGGTCAGGTCAGATTTGGATTTAGGGTAAAAAATATCTGACTCGAAAAAAATAATTTTATTTTATATATTTAGAAATAATTACAATAATACCCTTTATATATTATTTTTTCAATTAAATAACTATTTTTATTAAATAAAAATAATATTTTTATTATTTCGGGCCGGGTTCGAATTTTATTTCAAAAAGTTGGGTCATTTTCGGGTCGGGTGGAGGGTATATATTATGCGGGTCGGGTCGTATTTCGGGTGGATGAGTCATTGTTCTCGGATTGGGTGGACCAAAAACCCGACCTAACCCGACCTATACCCATCCCTAGATGGACCGATGGTTCTGAAAATTTAAATTTATTATATATTTTTAATTTTATATATATATATATATATATATATTAAAAAAAATATTTTTTAGAATTTTTGTTTACCCTTAAGTTTAAGTTCGTCTCTAAACATAAAATTTTACGTCCGACTCTTATAGTTGAGTTAATAAAGTAAAATTATATTAATGGCTCATGAATTGCCCGTCAAGCTCAGTTGGTAGAGCATAAGGCTTTTAATCTTGTGGTCGTGGGATCGAGTCTCATGGTGGGCAATTCATAATTCTGACTGCTGAAGGTCTTCTACGGAAGCTGCTCTCAACCTGGCGTTGGGGGCCAGCCTACTACACTACTTTCCCCTTACCCCATTACATATGGGAATAGGGTCAACTAATTTATATTAGTGACTCACTCAATCTCATATTAGTTCTCAATTTAATTGATTAATTTAATAATACAAAATATATAAAAATAAACGATTTATAATTGAAGATTCATATAGTTTGTTAATTTCTGTTAAAAGAGGTAGCCATGTGTTTTAATATTTATATAAACTTGATTATTCATGAATTTTATTTTTATTAATATAAACAATTGGTTCTTTTTCTTTAATTTGATAAGAAATAGTATACAAATACATTTTATAACATTTTTATATTTAAATTTATAATTTTTACAAATACATTTTATATTTAAAATTATAACTGTCAGAAAATGATTAAAAAATTATAGACATCTTTTATTGACGGAAACAACCGTCGCTAAGATGGTCAATTCATACAAGGCCCAAAAAAGTAGTCAAAATATAAATTATGTATACAATTAGATTAAATACGTAAATAGAACCCTGAAAATACCGCTCTCCCACATTTAAGTAGGGATGACAGGGGACGGGACTAGAACGGTTTTACATTATCTATTTCGTTTTCAACATTTACGGATATGATTTTGAGGTATCCTCATTATATATTTCGTTCGGTTGATCCCTATACCAAAAAGTATATAAATATTTTTGAAATCAACGTAACCTCTAAAATTTGTAAGATATATCAGATTATCTTAAATTGGACTCTATCTATAATATAAAAGTTTCAAACGTCAATATTAATATCACACTGTCGTAACCATTTTTTCTGTAGGATAATCGTTTAATTGTTTTAGAAAATAGTTACGACTTTTAATTTTAGAAAATGGTTGATTTTGAATTAATTTGGATTAAATTGGAAAGAGTCGCCATCGACCTTTGGGTTAGGTAGGTCGAATACCTAAAAAACTTCTTTTAAAAATAATTTTAAGAAAAAATCATTTTTTAAGACAAAAGTTGGTCTGCATTTACCAGACGTTCATTTTAAAGGGTTCGAGAGTCGGTTACGCGTGGGGAATGATTAACA